GTTGACCCATATTTATGCTATGTGTTCCCGTTCTCCCAGAGTCCAGACTTTCCTGTGTTCTTCTCAAGAACATACTTGACAAGGACACAAGTCCATACTCGCGCTCTTATTAATTGAGAAACAGCCACTGCCAGCTGTGGACCACTGAAGATAACTCTGTAGGGCTATGACATTACAGTACAAGTACGTATTACTCCTTTCGTAAAGGAGCAGATACTGGGCCTTCTAATGGGTCAAGGACCTCTGAGGGCAATGTCTAGGTCTCCTTAAGGAACTGCTGGAATCTCCTCCATAGTCTTGAGACAGTGATGGGAGACAGCAAACCTGCAGGAAATGGCAGATACTGATGAACCATTCAGGTGGAGTTGGACTGTGCAATCTATGCAAGGTCCAGGTTTCGCCTCATGCTACCAGTAGATACTGTCACCCTGGTCGAATGCAAAAGTACTGAATGGTCAAAAATAAATAATTGCCTCACTGTTTCCCTTTTATTCAGTCCTGACATGACTTTCAACCCCATCATTCGGATAAAAAAAAATTACTTTATTTTTAAGCAGAGACATAGAGTATAAATGGTTAAGTCCCATAATATCACTAAGCAAGAATGATAATTGAAACCAGCCTATTTAGTCAAGATGAATTTGCAACTTAAAATGCTTTACCTTTACTTCCTCATGTGGAAATGCATCTGGTTTCACCTGACATTTGATAAGCAGTATGATGGTTAATTATGACAGAGTAAAAGGGCTCCTTGACTCTGAAATGCAATGCAAGTGCAGTACATGCAAATGCATGAAATGTGATAAAAATATTTATAGGATTAATCTGTTAAATAAGAATAATCATCTGTAAGTTCGTATAACTGAGGTAATAGTTAATAAAAATTAAGTTATATTAAAACATGGCAGCAAATTTTCCTGAAGTTTATAGATTAATTTTTTGATTACTACCCCTTAGCTTTGGTGCTACTTCAAATTGTGGCTAAACACTTTTCTTTACCCGATCAGGATGAAACATTCCTGACATCTTTTACTACAGGATATTTTCATTTAACTTTTATTTCTACGCATCTATTCTTTTTGGTGGTTTCCCATCTCAATAACCAGCTTCCTTCTACCGCCTTGGAACATGATGCATGACTCAGCACTGCTTCATAGTGGCTGCACCATTGACCCTCGTACGATAATGGCCTGCTTTTCCTTACCTTGATTTACAGTCTCCATGTTGGAACCTGTTCCTGCTCCAGATTTATGTCTAGCTCTCCCTCTATCTGTCGTCTGATTGCCTGGCTGCCTGGCTGCCTCCTGCGAGGCGGTGATAGGTGACAGGAAGCAGGGAACCTAAGCAGCCCTGTGAGAATTTAGATTAGTTATTGTTAAGGGATAAATAACAGCTTTAATGAGGCTGAGAGAACTGGATTGGTGGGGCGCCTGCTGTTGGGATAATGTAGAATAACTGATAGTCTGCAAAATACGGCTTTACAATTGTTAAAAATCATTTTTCGTATGTGAAACATGAGAAATACCCAAAGACAAAAGAGATTACCTGGATGCACAGTCGGGGAAGATCTATTTAAAGTTTGTGACAACGTGCACATTCCTGTGAACTATATTAAAACAGGCAGAAATGATAAAGATATTTTAAAATCTGCTAATGTCAGTAATCAAGCTTAAGCCAATTTCCTTTTTGCCACATACTGTATTCTGGAGAGTTGTCTAAATTTTAACACTTCAGTTTGACTTTCAGCAACAATTAGAGAAATCTAGAAATGTTGTCTACCACTGCATTCCAACATTTGGATGCTTCAGATTATCTGGAAAATTCCCTAGAGGGAAATTTGAAGCTCTTTAGGCAATTTTTAGAATGTATCTATCATGTTAACTAAGATAGATACAGAGCTGTTTTGGCCCCTAGTTGTACAATGCTGAACAACTGGAAAGTATTTACAACACATCAATTCTTCCACATTTAGTTTTGTTACTACCTTATAAAATAGATAAATAAACATGTCTGAACTTCTACAGTATGTAATATGTGTAAGAGGTTGGTGCCTAGTGACTGGGATTGGCTTAAGAAAAAAAACTCATTGAGTGCCTACAGATACTTTGACCTCTTTGAAAGAGGCTCCTATGCTAGAAATTGTATTTTTCTAAGACGTGCAAAAATACTTTGTATAAATGTTTGATGTAGGTAAATGGAGCTCATAGAAAAGCAGCACCAATCATAGTTGGTAGGATTCAGCTCACAGAGTTTAACAAGATAAAGCAGCACACTACAACCCGAGCTGTTAGTGTAAGCTCTTTTGGGTTTTAGCTCTTATTTTGAGAAAAAGTAATAGACTGCCAGCATGAACTTTCTGTAGCCATTTAAACACAATACCTGCCATCATATTGCTGACTGTTTAAAGTGGAAAAAAAAAAAAACAGCAATGCTGCTGACTCTTATTCCCGCCTCCAAACCTGTTCCGTTTTACAGCCATGGAGACCAAATGGCCACAGCCAGCCTTCCTTGCTTGCTGTTCTGCCAGCTGTCCTTCTGTTCATATCAACATGAAACATTTGAAATTTGAGATGCTGAAGCTTTTACAATGAAGATTAACATGATTGGTATGTTTACTTGCAGATGCCTTTGTTAAGGATCCACAGGTGGTGAAATGTGTCTTGAATGTGCTTTCCAGAATTCTGCAGCCCATCATCAATAATCCTTTGAATAATCCACTCTAATCCCAAAATATTCTTACCTCACCTTTTAACAGTTAAAGAAGATCTGAACATGTTCACTTGGAATATGATTCCACCAATTAACACGAGTTTGTCTGACATGGTGAGATATTTGTGGAATTAAAAGGAAGGCTTTCCTGAGCATGCAGCTGGAAGTGTGCATTCGAAATATCTGCCACTGACTGCTCTCCTGGCTCTTACCTTGATTAAATATGTATGGCTTTACTATCTTCATCTCTCTTGCTGTATCACCAACATCTACTACAAATAGGCACAATGAAAGGGAGGAAATTGTCAGAGGAAGTAGGTCAAGATGGTGAAGAACATGACAGAGCTGCAAGGAGGGGAACTAAATCCAGCTGTTCAGGGAGACAGAGAATCTACCTGTGTTAGACTCTTAATATATATTTTTTAGAGAAAACTGCCAGATTTACATCATATGCATTTTTAACTCACAATGTTGAATTGTCTTAACTTTCAGAGAGATAACGGTTTAACACCTTACATTTTGTTCTACAGTCTAGATCTACAGTATTGTTCACTTTTTCACTTTCCTTATGATTTTTTTTTTACTTATGATTTAGATTTTCTTGTGTTTTAAAGTGGTCTTGGATAGTAATTGTCCAATCTTTTGTTTATAATGCATTCTTTGAACTTTATCTGTTTTCACTTGCTTTATTCAGTATATGACTTACTGTATAAAGTGAGAAAAATGGGACAAACCAAAGTCTAGCAGTTAAGCGCTCTGGGGCCCATGGTAACCAGTGGAGGGGAAGGAACAGTAATATGCAGAGAGGAAGACGATCCGTGGGAACAAGAGGGATCAGCAGTGTGGACCATTGCAGATAAATATGGTTGTGGATGGCCTGATAAGCAAAAAAAAAGAATTTTAATCATAATTCTGAAATCGATGGGAAGCCAGTGAAGCTGTTTTAGGGCAGGGGTGATGTGATTAGAGGAGGGTGTTGTGGTGAATTCTGGACCAGTTGACATTTAATGTTCAAAGTGTTTGTTTTTTACATTTTCCTTGAAATTGTCAACAGTTAGTTGGTCCGGGTTTTAAATCTCAACTCAAATGATGCTGAACTCATAGTGGTAACTAAGACAATCAGTCATAATTTAACAAAAAGAAGCAATCAGGCTTGGTGGCTCAGTAGTTAGAGAGCAAGATATCAGGAACTATAGTCCTGAATGTCGTTGTCATCTTTATTATTCTAAAGCTCTTCCCCTTCTCTCTCAAGCCTCTATCCTGTAAAATGATAGGTCAATATAGATTAAGAAAAAACCTATGATTCATTTACGTGTGTTAATATATAGGACGATATCCAGGCTTTTGGTTCTATTCAATGTGCAATTCAAAACATTGCATAAGGTTACCAGTGACAGTTCTAAACAGAGCTTCACAGAGTTCATTACATTATGAAAATATCTGAAATGAGCTGAAAGGTTTTCAAGTTTTAGTTTAAGACAAAAAGGTAAAGTTCCGTTTTGAAGAATTATTTTATTCTGCTGATTCCTGGTTAAGAGTGATGATGAATGAAGTTAAATCTCAAACAATGCTAAAAGTTTATAAAATCACAAAGGAATCTGGGATATTTCCAACAAAAACCCAGCTCTCTTCTCCTCAAAGTAAATGGATGTCTAACATGTGGGAGCTGCTCAGTTTTAACTAAATTAATATCTAATGCATACCAAATCAACCACCATCTGCTTGTGTTCAGACATTAACACCATCGCATGCCCAATTAGTCCATGCTCCGAACATTTAATGCATCTCAAGTCGATTACTGTCCATTTTAGGCTGCAGCTATGTTGCTTCTAAGAGGACAAAGTAAAAAAGCAACTCCCAGTTTGATGCGGTGTCAAATGCCAACAAATGCTGCACCAAAGCTCAACGTTTGATATAAAATGAATGATTTTTCTGTAAGAGTCTTGGGTTCACAAAAACTTCAGAAGTGTGTCTTTCAATTCAGCTAACTGGATGGTGAATAAAATTGCTTTTTAGCAAATGTTGAATTTATTTCAATGATGAATCAGTTGCACAAAGCTATATTACTTGTCTTTGTTCTAAATTTCATAAAAATGTACATACACTCTTTAATCTCCTGACTGCTGAAGCCTTTTAGATTGTAAAGCAGATGCAAATGTTTGTGCAAAGTGCCGACCATTTGCATTGAGTGAAAAGTGTTTGAACAGTTGCATGACATTAATCATGCAAGTAAAAAGTGTGTTTCTAACGCTGGTTTCTTTGCTTGTTTTCTCTGTCTCCTTTTATTGCAGGGGTCAGCAAGACTATACCAGGTGAGTTAAAAGGGAAACCTTATGAAATAATTGAGAACAGAAGATATTGTGCAGTTCCCCATTTATAAACAAAAATCATTGGGTTTCTTTTTGGAGATCCACAGCTTTATCATACTCCTAAAATGGGAAACATTTTCGGTAAAGACATTTATTTTTAGTTGGAACTGGGTTGAAACTTATTATTTTGGACTTCTATCTGCCATTTAAATTGGATTTAAGTTTTTTGTTATCAACTGTTGCATTATTAATCAGTAACCTTTTGAGTAAACCAAGAACAATGTCTTAAGAAATGTTTTAAATACATTTCTTCTAAAACTGTTCTGAAAAAAACTGTCTCACTGTACCACAGTGAGACAAAAAAAGCTGAGTTGTCTTTTTCTGGAAATTGGAATTAAATTTAAGACCTACAGTATATGTCTAGCATGTACAGCTACATAGGTTTCCAATCACCATGATCTCGATACTATAGTTCCTTTTCTGTTTTTTAGATTCATATGAGCCAAAGATTTTCCAGGCTAAACTTATCTATACAACATAAAGCTGGAATAAATCCAAAATACACTATCCGAGTTTATAAACTTACATTTGTTCATGATTTTATCTCATTATACAGGCATACAGGCTCATATTTAAACATTCATGCCTTAAGGGCTGATAAGGGCTCTAGAAATAATTATTTATCAATTATCAATAATTATGTGCAGTTTCCAGCATAAAATGAAGATTAAATTTTTCATAACAACACAATTACTTTATTAAGACCACTGAAGTGAATTCCGAAGTTTACACAAGCTGCAAAGCTAATTTGTAGCCATTTCTAAACAATTGCAGATTCATTAACAATGCTACAGAAGTCCCACTTCTTTATATGTTACACATAAAATCTTTTAAAAATATATGTTATCCCTCTTAAATAAAAGCAAAGTCGAGTATGGAATCCCCTTTTTTGATGCCATTAACTAAAGGGTCAAAAGAAAATTCCCATATCCTTAATTAACATCTTCATGCTAGACTTACAAGTGGAGTTTCCCATGCACAAAAGCTAGATGTCTTCTAGGAATAAAAGCCTTTTGTAAATAGAACAGATAAAGACAGCCATTAGGCCAAAATAACAAAATTAATGTTTGACACCCTGAGATCTAGGAATATGTATCAAGTGTCATGCATGGCAGAGGTAATGTCATACTATGGGCTCTATTTCCTGTCCTGTTCTACAAAGTGGATGGAATGATCATGAAACAGAACGTATCCAACGTCTTTGTATCCCACCTAGATCATCAGTTGGATGTTTGAAACTCAATGATAATGATCCTAAAGTGATTTTGAAATGAATAAAGCAGGTAAATATTTAGCCTTTAAAATGGCTTCCTTCACAAGTATTTTGATATCATTCTTATTAGGCTTTATATCTGTGCTCCATAACCAACCAATTCAAATGAGTGATTAAACAACATGATAGGGGTTAAAACAAATAGTGCCCTATGATGAAAATCAGAAACCTTTACCTGCAGCTGTGCACATTTGCCATTTTAAGATTCATTACCATTTTATAGGTTCAAAATAATAATTCAGTCTGTAAGAGATGTTTTTTTGTAGAAACTAACAGAGAAACTTTGAACTGAATACCAGTAGAAGTTCTGACAGTAGAGACAAACATATAAAGGTCCTTATCCAGGCAGTGTTCACTGTTTGAAGACATTCGCCATTTTCTTACTTCAAGATAAAGACACTGTTAAAAACTTGTTTTTTTACCCCCTAAAATCCTACATTCACAGCAGATATCAGTTGGTTCATCAGGTCAGTTCTGATTCTGACTTCCCAGTTTAAGTGTTTTCTAAAAGTGTGAGTTTTTTCCACTGAAGCTTCCTTCTCAGAGATGGAAGCTTTTAACGTTGATTGTGTTTGGATGTTATGCTTTCCCTTCTGAAAGCATGTTTCATCCCAATACCAAAGAGTATTGAAGCTGCGTGTTCCTTTTCTCTCTTACACTTCCTTGTCTTTTCCTCTAAAGGCCTCGCACACATGATGGCAGAACAAGGTACGCCCACTTTACCTCTCTATAAAATGTACTTTGTTTGTGTTTCTGGTGTGGAGCTGCATGTTTTGGTTAGAACTGTGTATGGAAGTGCATGGTTCTGTACACAGAGACATGTCTAAGATGTGTCATAAGAAAGAATCCAATGGGGATTGTTCTCTGTTCAGCCAAATCTGCTGTCTTCCGATGGATGAATCTTCTACAAAATAATCATAAATGTTGCACTCAAAAGATTATATTATTTATTTCTTCTTCTTTTTTCTTAGTTCATGCATTTTTTAAAAGTGGCTTTTAGAGATGCAAAGAATATTAAAGAGAAAAGAAATTTCAAAAGGAACTTATTTCCATCTAACACTACAACTAAATAGATTAACTTAATTTAATTTATATTTGTTATGAAGTTAAGGGTAAAAATGTTACTAGAAGGGACGTCTTTTAGATTTAGATTAATAAAACAAAGGAATTGATTTTAAATTTACCTTAAGAAAAGATACATTTAAATACTGATGGCATTTTGAGATAGAGCATGGTTTAAGCATAGTGAAATTCATTTGAGGAATTAGATTAATTTCTCAGGGGATAGATTCATCTTTTCATCTCTTACAAGAGGATTCCAAATTGTTCCCAGACCTGAATAGAAAATATCCCCCCATCCATCTTTGGTCTGCCCATGCATATTCTCCCTATGACGGTTGCATGGAAAACCTCTAAAGGAAGCCATCTAGGATGCATCCTGATCAGATGGTATAGATATGTCAGCTGAGTTGTTTTGATGCAGATGGGTCGAAGCTATGTTCCCCTATGGAAAACTGAGTTCTTTACCCTATCTCTAAGGCTAAACCATGGCCATAGAAGATAGTTTGACCTAATAAGGGAACAGAAAATGTACAGATTCGCTTTACGACTTATATATACAAGATCAAGCGTCATATTACTACAGACAGGATCCTAATTGGTCCCTTCATGTCCTGTTACATCTTATAATCCCTCGTGAGGAAAAAGCCCATAAAGTTCTTTGGGAGTAACTGCTTCTTTGGATATTCTGTTCTGTTTTGTGGAGAAGTTTGAAACAAACTTTAGTTCTCAGATAACCTCACCTTTGACTCTAAATTATTTTTGGATTGATTTCATTGTTGACTCAGTTTTGCTCATTAAACAGAACCAAGGCAAATCCCCTAAGTTTAGTGCATTCAAAAATGTATTTCCATCATCAGGGATGAATATTAGAATAGCTCAGTTTGTGTTTTGGTGCTGAATGTTTGCCAACCACCATACAACTGATTTGGACTCAAAAGATTAGGAAAACATGCATGCAAGAGAGTGCATGCTCCTGTGGGCTCTCTGTCTTTTGACCCTCTTATGACTTTACCAAGCCTCTCTAGTTTTAGTACATTGATTTTGCATGTAAAAGTAGTAAAGAAAGTTCATATCTTAGAATAGCTGGATGCAGATTAATCAAGTTAAATTAAATTAATAAAAAAAAGAAGAGGTTGCTTTATCAAATCCATCAGGGCATGTGAACTACCACTAATTTCCATCGGTTTCAGTGTGCAGAAAGTTAAGTGGTACCTTAAACTAGCACTTCTTAGATCTGTGAAAGGAGTGTTTGCAGGACACTTTTAATACAAAATAAATAAATAAAACTGCTTCTTGCAAATGTTTCATTTTTTTATCTCTTAAAAAAAAATACATCAAGTAGAGGAAAATCTCTAAATGTCCAAACAGGCTCCTGTGTGACTGGAGTGTCCTCACAGAATCAAATAATTAATTTGAAATACCTTAGTTTTGCTTATTTACTGTCAAAAACGGTAAAGATGAATGGTGCAGAACCCAATTCAGTAGTTAATATTTGAAATGTAAGCCAAATGTGTTGAAAAATAGAGATATGTCATTAGAAAGCGTTTACAGTAATTACAGTGAAAAGATCAAATTGAACTTGAGCTGTTTTTAACCAACAAGGACCTAAGGAGTTTTTTTTTGTTTTTTGTTTGTTGGTTGTAGTATATATTTTTTTTCATTTATTGCTGTAGGAAAGATCTATGGAAAACAAGGATTATGATAAATGACAAATTAATGTCATTTAAAGTCCACTGCAGAACAGAGTACCTGCATGTGTTTGTGTCGCTTCTATGCTGCTCAAGTTAAACAAAACATTTTTTTTTTCTAATTTGGTCATCAGTTCTGTGATTCCTGCTCTATGAATCATTTTGACCTGCTGTGTTTGTATGTTTAAAATCAGGATGCTCTGTACAGAGTTTAACCCATGAATTTACTCTTCGTCCTCTTCTTCCTCCCTGCCTGGCCTGTATCGGCTGTGGACTCTCTGTTCCTCTCCCTCCTCCTCATCCTGCTGCTGCTCTTCTAGCTAAAAGCAAAGGTACAGCCTTTTCAAAATCTTTCCTTTTCCGCCTGTATGAAAAGCGCCGATTGCTCTGTGAGTGTTTGAGTGGAACGTGTTTGATGTTTTAATGTGTTTACTTGTCTGTGGTCTGTAATGCTTTCTCACTGAGGGTGCTTGTGTTAAGTGAGTAATTAAGCCAGCAGCAAATGAAAGTGGGAGAAAAGAGACTGGCGTTGTGTGTGCTGTGTGTGTTTTAGCGTGTTTCATGATTTGTTTAAAGACTTGAAGTGTGCGCAGGAAGGCCGCACAGCGGATCAGTTTTCAGAAAAAAACCCTCTCCAGATCTTCTTTCTGCAACACATATGTCCACCCAGCTGTATTTATAAGATGCTCACATTTTTCTTCTGTCAAAAACCTGTCTGGGAATTTATTCTGAGATTGTGGGCTAAATCATCTTGGTCACTGTACATGTAATTTTAGGTTCTAATGATATGAATTTAATACTTAATGTAAACTGCATCCAGAGAGACTCCAGAAAGAAGAAATAGCGCTTCAACCGGTAAATTCCAGCAAACAAATGTGTTTCAGGGTATTCAGGATATCCATCCCCATCATTGTAGGAATATTTGTTACAAAAATTTTTGTAAACAACTTTCAGTTCAATCCCTCCTATTTAGTGTGATGTCCAATTCTCATGTAGAGATCCTTCCCCTTAAATCTTAGATCTCATTTCCTGTCCCGGGAAATCAAAGTGAAAGAGACTCATAATTTTAGCCATTTCAATTGAGTTATTTATATAGAGCCAATTCTCAACACATAATCTCAAGGCAATTTAAAGAGACAATTCAACCATACAGTTAGACAGTTACATTTATTCAAAGTTTTCTTTCTAAGGAAACCAGTTGATTGCACCGACTCATTGGCTCGAAGGCAATCACTCACACCAAGCATGCTTGTAGCGACAGTGGAGAGGAAAACCTCCCTTTTAATAGGAAGAAACCGCCAGCAGAACCAGGCTCAGTGTGAGCGGCCATCTGCTGAGTCTGACTGGGATTCAAGGAGACAGAAGCAGACATAGAAAAAGAAGCAGAGATACTAAAGACAGTAACTCTGAAATAGTAGGTAATAAACTAATTCAATTCATTTGGGATAAAGAACACATTTTTGTTAAAGTCTCCTCCTTCAAGCAAGGAGTCTAAATAGATTTAGGCTTCGAAGGGACATTATCCATTTTCCTGTTGTTGACACGACTCAGATATCAGCATTATGGTCAAGCAGATGTCTACATTTGATTTCTTTTTTTTTTTGTCAATTAAGACAACATTAAAATATTGTCACCTGCTGAAAATAAGACGGTTTCCTGGGATCCTGATTTGACAGAGGAATCCTAACTGTCCGAAATTGCGAAGCTAACGCATACGTGCTGTTTTTTTTTAACCTCCATCTTAAATATGATAAGGATTTAATTAAAATGAACTCAAAATTTGTTGTAGAGTTTATTTCTTTTCACGACTAGCTTTTAGTCAGTTAAAATTGCAATATTTCCCTAACCTCTATCAAGACCTTGCTTTCTGACTGATATCATCTGTATGTTGACTAAAACATCAGCTTAGACACATTCTAGATCTTATCTCCCATGGGGGGGTCAGTATATTTTTATGAGATATCAGCTATCTTGGAACATTTTGTTATTTAAAATCATTGATTTTAAAGCTCCTTCTCCAAAAAGTAGGCAATTATCAGCAGGCTAACATCCTATTCATATACCTGCAACAGTTTGACAGCTTATTGCTGCCTTTATGGACCTTATGGCACCTTGTGTTGTCCTGATTATTTCCTTGCAGCCTTTTATGGGTCTTACCAGGATATTTAGGGTTCACTCACCTTTTTTTTGTGTAAAATATTCAGATTCAAAGCTGAGGCTTGTATAAATTATGTCACCCATGGACAGTTGAAGAACATATTACCTTTATTATTTGAGGGATTGGATTATTGAGAGGCAATTTTGCTCAGTATCTGTCTCTTAAAGAGGCAAAATTAGTTTTTGTCTGACATAATTTGGTACAGTGATAATGTCCAAGGGTGCTAAAGGCTACTATTAAAAAGAATCAGCTCTGTTATTAATCTATCAACCCCTGTTCTTTTTGACAGACCATTCTTTATGTGGAATCATTTACTTTCCCTTTTCACAGACAAAGTTGCATCTCTAAGATGTGACAACTGTACTGTAGATTTGTTGCTTTTGTCCCAAATGAACCACCTTTTTATTTTTCCTTAGTGTTTTTCTGATTTTCTCCTTAAGCCCTTTGATCTCCATTTTTGGATACGATGGAAATACCTCTGTAAATCAAAGTAAAGAATTATTCCTTGACCAATGTTAAAAAAGTAAACTTTATAAAGTTGTAAAAATATAGTTTGGAGTGCTGATAGACTAACCTCAGTTTTCCTGCTCTAAAGCTTTAAGCCTCATTCTGTGTAGCTGAGTGTTTAATGAAAGATGTTTGTTCTGCAATGCATATCAGCAGCTGTAATCTAGTTCTGACCAATCCACTCATTAACATTATGTAGACTGATTCATTGTCTGAAAGGGACCTGTGTCATTGTTGCCAGAACAATGTAAAGCTATCTCTCTTTAACTTTAATTAGAATTTTCTTTTTTCAGCTAAGAGGAACTTGTAAATATAAAAAGAAATTCACCTGAGATGGGCGCCTTGAGGAACCCCATATGTATAAATTACCTAAAGTTGTACCACTTTGACTGAAATTGTTGTCTTTTATCAAGACATATCCTTTCCAGTGCAATTTGAAAGCAACTTTTTAGAGTAGAAAAACATAGAGGTGCAATGACCTGGTTGCACATGTATGCACACCTAAAACATTTTAATGCACCTTTGATTTCAGCATTCAGTCCTCTATGGATTAAATCTGTCAGCATCCCATATTTTTTGCAATATTTTCCCTCTCTGCTTGTAAATCTGCCCCAGATTTATCAGACTTTGAAGTCATCTTAGGTCAACATCTCTCTCGGTGAATCCACAAGTCTTCTGTTGAACTTAGTGAACTCAACGTTACCTGTGGCAGTTGGTGCCATATTGACAAACGTTACTGCATAGTTGAGTAAAGATGTTGTGTCCCGTGTCTTTGTAAGTTACAAAAGTGGGTGAGTAAATGTAATACAAAATCTTAAGTATTAAAACATATTTTTAAAGCGTATATGAACAGGCTACCTATGGATATTTGTTCTCCATGCCAGGACATTGCCATGAATGCAGTTTATTAGTATATGTGTTTCTAATAAATTAAGCAAATTATCGTTTTTTTAAGCTAAACTTTTAGTATTTTAAAAATTTGTATTTTTATTATTTTGATACAAGCATCTCAAGTAGAGGTAGCACTAGACTTTTTCATCGTACTCTTGTCAACGAAAAGGTCAATAAAAAATGTAGTCGTAATCTCTATTTACCCATAATCTTTTTATTTTATTTTATTTTTTTATTAATATGCAGGCTCAAATACATACTACGATTAATACTTGCATGAGTACTTGCATGAGTACTTGCATGAAAATTTGGCCTGAAATCCTATTATCATAATAATATTTGCATAATAATTAAATTTGCAGAGGACTTTTTCCTTAACAGTGATGACCTCTCGCCAATGTTTTTTTTTTTGCCTCTTTGGTGGCTGTATCCATGTTCATATACCACAATAGAAACTGAAATAACAAGCTGTACTTCAACCAAAGTTTAGCATATATTTCTTTACAATAATATTTTGGTTAAAAAAAACAGAGATGTTCTTCGCTTCAGACTAAAAAAAAAATGCATGGACTTGAATTGCAATTGAAACATAAGTTACACTAGCTCTAGTGAAAGTAAAGCATTCTGGTCTATTTTGTTTTCCAAATCACTGTATTGGGTAGCCTGGAAATGTTTGTTGGAACACAACCTGTGTTGTAGAAAAGGTTCTCAGTGCTTTGTGTATGAAACATTGAAGCCTCTTTCCTTTCAGCCTGTGATTTTTTTTGTACACTCAAAATGGCTGCCCTCATACATAAGTCCAATGCTTACATGTGGAGATTTCTGCTCCTGGAGATTTTCAGTCCTCTGCCTCCTCTCCACTTTTCCTCTACCTTTTTGCAGTGTCTAATCCCTCAGTGAGATGATTGCCATTATTAGGTAGTGCACACAGACAGACATAAGCTATCGGTTGTTGCCTGTTTGGCACACAAGAGCCTCTTCTCTGACTGTTTGCATGCCAGCTCACTAGTTGCAGAAGAAAATATACAGAAAAAATCTGATCATTAGAAATTGTCTGTTTGCTTTATAAGGATAAAATTTTACTCTGTAATCAAGATGATTTCTCTATATTCACTTTTAGTTTTATCCTTGTATTTGTTTTTTTCCCTATCTGCTGGTGTTTCTTCTCTTTTCTGCTTCTTAACTATTTTTCCTCGTCATTTCCTACTTAACTTGCAGATCCTTTCTACACCTTTCTTTCACCTTCATAAGTTACTTTAATCAGTCCCATTTTTGTCCCTGCTCAGTTTGATTAGCTCCATTTTCAGTTGATTGTTGGTGTCGTATCACGTCCCTCTGGTTTAAACACACCATCAGTATGAGTCAAACGAACCAGATCAGCACAACTTTTTTTATTTTTTTTTATTGAACAGCATATTTTTCTTCAAACCGTGAATTATTTCCATATAAAAGTATTGTAGCTTTATTTAACTGTAAAGGCAGTTTGGTCCAGTTATATATAATTTAAATTTATACACCACTAACTTACTCTGGTTGCATACAAGGTTACATGTTTCTTCCTGTTGGCATGTTATATTTTATTTTTTAACTAAACCAATGGAGGTAAGATACTGCGCATAAATAAGGCACTAATGAGCTAAGCCAGTTGGAACCTTCTTGCCGAGTTTTGAGAATAATCAAGGAAAGATCCAAGATCCAGTTAACAATAATAACTAAAAAAGTATTTGTTATCCAAGCGGGATAAGACTCCATGATAGATATTAACAACCAATGTCC